AGATTGACAGTACTCTAGCCCAATAATGTTGGGGGATCCAGTGGGGGCGGCAGTCATATTTCAGGGTGACCGTGCCACTCTTTATCACAACCCTGCTAAAAGTGCCAGTACTTGCACTCATTGGCGCCCCTTCAGCTGGTGGCGCCCTAGGCGACCGCCTAGCTCGCCTATGCCTAGAAATGGCCCTGCCCATACACAACGTGAAGTGAATGTTCGAAAGGGAACGCTCCGGTTATTGACGTAACCTCGGTTCCCTGAGATCCCTGAGATGTTGTGTCACTTGTCGTGCTATAAGCTGCACGCGAATCGATGACTGTCACTTCAGTTGAATGATTCTGATTAAATGGCGCTGCGAGCCAACTTATATACACGTTGGCTCCGCCCTTTCTGGCAGGCTACAGCGCCATTGGTTTGTGCAGCTACACAAACGTGAACAAATCAGGCTTCAGTAACAGAGTAAACAGGAGTTTACCCATACACAACGCTCGTTCCCGTATCTCAGGGAACCGACGTTACGTCAGCAACTGGAGCGTTCTCTTTAGTTTATATTTAAAATTATTTATTTTGTATTTTAATCTTAATATGCACACAACATTTTTTATTTATGTATATGTGCTTTAGAACTTGAATTTTAAGCATTTTTGTCATTTATTTACTTATTTGTTTGTTTGTTTGTTTTTACATTTAGTTTTAAATTTAAATCCGTTTATATTCAAATTTAACTAGAGAGTGACTAATAATTTATATCGTTTATTTGACAATGATTGGTCTACCAGTATCATGCAGTGTAATCTGGCCATCACATTTATTAATACTTGTCAAAAGGGACAGCTATCTTTAAAGCCGTTTTATTTTAGTATCAGTGATATACTGTTATAGTTGAGATGATGAGAAATGTTGCTTTGGCATCTAGCTGAAATATTATTTAAAATTATTTTTATTTCAATTTATTATGATTTTTTATTTCAAGTAACAAATACTTTTTTATGGTATTATTTAACTGTAATAACCCTGCAGGTTATGGCACCACTGTGCCTCTTTCGGATGAGGGCCGTTTGTTTTGTGTTGTGTACTGTCTTGTGGGAATCCCCTTCACCCTGCTGCTGCTGTCCAGCCTCACTCATGCCCTCCTGCCCTGGGTAACACACACCCCTATTCACAACCTTCAAGTCTTCTGGGGACTGTCTCGCAACCATGCAGGGTTGCTGCACTGCAGCCTTCTGGCCTTTTGCACAGCGACATTGTTCTTTCTTCTGCCTGCTGGTGCCCTCTGCCTGCTGGAGAACGACTGGAATTACCTGGAGTCGCTGTATTTTTGTTTTATCTCACTTAGCACCACAGGACTTGTTGACTATCTGCCCGGCAGGACACAAAGCCGAGCAGCACGTCAGTGGCTGGAGTTTGCAACCTCCTGTAAGTTATGTATATTGTAGTGGTTGGGAGTAGAGATATACCCAAGCCTTATTAAGCTTTTAGTTAGTTAGTTAGTAAAATGAATTGAAAAAAGTGATGGAGATTCTTAGAAAGTTGTATTTTCAAACTTTGAAATTTTATTTAGAGACCATATTGACTTAAATTTACTTTACTTGGTCTTAAAGGGTCTTAAAATCTTAAATTGACTTTTTATAAAAACCTTAAGAAACCCTGATTTAGACCCTCTTTTTCAGGTTACCTGATGGTTGGACTGATTGTCTTGCTTGTGGTTATGGAAAGTTGCTGGGAACTGCAGCAGGTTCAAGCCATCATGCGTTTTTTCGCTGGACCGCGGCAGGGTGAGCTGAAGGGGGTGGGTTTGGATGAGCTTGTGCTCAGTGGAGACATGACAGGTGCAGAGGAGGAACCTCATTACACCCTTCCTATATCCACCATCTCCCCTGCTTTCACAGACTCACCTGCCACTCCAACAATAGAGCTGCCACCAGTCTTTGACCTGACACCCATAGCAGCCACCAAAGAAAATATTCCCCCTTCACTAAGACCAGATCTGTGTCAATCCACTTCCACTTCATAACTGATACAATGGAACTGGACATTGTAAGAAGAATAAATTATATCTACGAATGAAGCTGGAAACCACTAGGTGGCGATATCGGTTCCTTTTCTTTAAAGGGGGTCATATGATGCTTTTTTAAAGATCATTATTTTGTGTATTTGGTGTAACAGAATATGTTGACTCTCTCTCCCTCTCTCATGCTCTCTCTCTCGCTCTCTTTCTCTCTCTCTCTCTCTCGCTCGCTCGCGCACACACACACATAAGATGTGCAAAACTCCGCATTTGAACAGTCAATAGCGCCAGATTGTCATAGCAAAGTCAGAATTACCTCCTCTCCTAGGTTCACGAAACGGTCGTCCATAAAATGCATTGCTGTTCTGTTGTAAGTGATCTTAAAGATTCCTAAATGCATCTACTTTCGGAAGGCCAACTAAAGTGCTTTTGCTTTCGCCTAGAAACACACAGCGTCTCCCTGACATGGCTGCTTCAACACTAACTGCGGTTACTGAAACCACGCCTTCTTTCTTTGCGTGCACATTTGGGCGGCATTATGCTAATATTTCCACATAGTGAGGTAGATATGTGGGGGTGTGTTAGAACGAGCCGTTTTAGGGGGGCGTGGCAGAGTTTTAACTTTGATAAAGAATATCTCTTTGGTTTTGAGACTTTAGTCTTTGCAACTTCAGGGATCTTATCTATGCACAATCAGCTTGTAACACTCCAAAGAGAAAGGAAAACTTGAAATCGCATCATATGACCCCTTTAATACTCTTTGGATTGTGAAGAGTCAATACAAAAGTTTATTTATTTAATCATTCATTCATTCTTTTGAACTTGTTGGATTAAGTATGCAAAACTTCATTCATTTAAACTTGTTGGATTATGCATTTCTTTTTTCTTTTAAGTATGTAGTCAAGTTACTAAATGCATGATATATTTGTATTTTAGATTTTAGATTTATTGCAATCCTAATATTTAAGTCTACACATATCATATACAAATACAAAGCTTTTCTTATTTATTTATTTACTTATTTATTTAGTTATTTATCAATCAATCATATTAAATGTATATATTTTTATATTACATTCTAAACTACATACTGATTAAAAAAATAAACAATATTTTATAAGTAGTCAGTGTTTGGACTTTTTAATAGTAACGGTATAATACCAAAAAAGTTTGGGGTTAGTAGGTTTTTGCAAAAAGTATCTTATGCTCACCAAGCCTGCACTTATTTTACCAAAAGTATAGTAATATTGTGAACTATTATTAAAATTAATAATAGTTTAATTTTAAACCTGTAGAATTAAATTAACTGTAAAATATACTTTGAAATGTAATTTATTTCTGTGATGGCTAAGCTGCATTTTCAAAAATTTTACTGTCACTTTTGATCAAATTTAATGCATTATTGATCCCAAGCTTTTGAATTGTAGTGTATAATGACCAAAACTATCATATATTTTACGTTTTTCAAAGTAGCCACCCTAGATTACAGCTCAACCAAATGCATGTGATACATCCTGGGAGTAAAATATTAAAATGCTCCTCATGTATTTTGGACTCTTTTTTTTCTTTTCTGTTTTTTTCTTCTTCTAAAATTCGTCAATTTAAAAAGTAAATACATACATTACAATTAAAGTTTTGTAAAGAAATTCAATACAGACACCGTTTATCTTCAAAATCATTTAATGATTCAGACTGTATTTGATGATCAAGATTTTTAAATTCATTCAAGTATGTCAAGTATGCAGCCTATTACAATAAAAATATTCAAATTGAGATGCTCATGTTTCACATGTTGTTCTTCACAGTTGCAACAGGGAGGGAGCAGGTGTGTGTGTGTGTGTGTGTGTGTGTGTGTGTGTGTGTGTGTGGGACGGTGACTCAGAATCTGTGCCCAGTGCTGATGGCTCTGCCAGTCTCACATAAACACTTCACTGGCTCTACCTCTTACTTTGCAATGAGGTCATATTCTTCTATTATGGTCTTCAGTCTTTTACAGTCCAATTCTGCTGTTGCCTAGTTGTGCTGAAGCAGAGGGTGCATTTATGTTCACTTAATTACTTTTAATGCATAGTTTTGTGTGTGTGTGTGTGTGACAAAATGTTTCCCTTTAATTGAAAATACCATCATGTTTACTGTATGTAGGTATACTGTTTTGCACTTTCTAAATGTTTGGCTTTTAAAGAAGACAAAAGCCCAATAACTTTTGTCCCTAAGTATAAACAGAATATTACGTAGTATTTTTATTTCATCACATCACTTCAAAATCTGGTTACATTTATGTATTAAATTTTGTGTGTATTGAAACGGCTGCTTCTGAGATCTGTTGATATGTTTAGAAGAGTTGTATGTAAGTCAGGACTGAAGTAAAGTTAGACCCCAAAAGCTGGCGCAGTGCTGGGTAACCAAACCTCAACCCAATTTTAGTAACTTTAATTAAACCGTAGTTTAATAAGCTGCCCAAAAAAAACAGGATTATAAATAGCAAACGCGTAGGATAAAAATAGGAAATAAGTAAGATTGTTTCCCCTCAAATTATCCTAATGGCAGAACTGCTGACATCTGTTAACAAACGCAGGACACAAGTCCTTGACCGAAAGAGGCGTGACGTGAACTTCCCAGAGGATTTGAAGAAATTATAGGGGGTTCCCCGCTCATTTACCGTGAGGACCATGAAGCATAAACAACATTTTTCCAAAACCTGCTGGCCTTAAACTTTTTAAATCCTCAGCAGCTCAGTACAGAGCTCATTAAATCAAACATTTAACATTTCGTTGGCTTTTAAACAATAAAAAACATTTTAAATATATTAAAGCCATTTTTGACACATGCATGTGGTATATACATATGACCTTGTTACCAAAGTGCCTAATGCTTTCACAATGTCAACTGCTCTTTCATTCAGATTGACAGTTAGCAGGTGTTACATGCATGTCTATATTTGTCACGCTGGTTTAAATGTTATCTCTGATCGTGAACAGATGGGGTAACATTGACACAATGTAGTTTTCCACACTAGAAAGTGAGGTGTGTTGAAAGGTCATGAAATGTTATCTTCCTGTGAAATTAAGTTCATATTGTTTATTGTTCATATTGTGCTCTTAAAGAATGCAAGATGATAGATTGGTCATCTGGAATCTAGGTTTGAGGCAGCTCTTAAATGTCTGTTTCTTATCGGGGATAATTGTTTAAATCAGTTACTTTGGTTGATCTGTCCACTTTTAGAATTGCTAAAAACATTTAGAAAAAAAAAATACAATGAATATAAAAAATATAATTACAATTTCCCCAAATAAAGTGAGTTTCAAAAATCTGAGACCACAATGAAGATCAATAAAAATTTCCTCAAAATCTAATTGAATTTAAAAATTTTTTGATTTAAACATTTCTAAAAAAAAATTCTGTACTATTCATAGGTAATTAGATGAATGTAAGTAAATCTGTGACACTAATCATATGAATTCTATTCGGAAGGTCAGATGTTCTTGTTTCCATTGAAGCACAAGATGCTCTTTGGATCATTCTCAAATCATGCTGGAGAACATGATCATCAGATCTTAATAATGTTTGATCAAGTTCATGCCAGTTCAGCTGGTGCTTTTATTAAAGGTCATTTCATTCATCAGAAGTGGCACAAACCTGCTGAGAAATGAAAAAAAATTTTTTAGTATTTTTTCACTCTGATTGTTATGCTGATTATATAATTTGTCCATACACAACTTATTTTTAAAATGTTTTTTGAAACAAGACTCTCCAAAGCTACATTGGTTTGGTCAGAAATACAGTATAAATAGTAATATTTTGAAATATTATTACCATTTAAAAGAACTGTTACTTTGAACATTTTGTCAGAATTCTTTGAGAAATAGAAAGTTTTAGCATTTATTTGAAATAGAAAAAATAGATTTATTTAACAATGTGAATGTTTACTGACACTTTTGATCAATTTAATTAACCTTTTGAATAGTAGTGTCCATTTTGTCACTGTTATTGCAAGCAGTCATTGTTATGGCTGAAATGGTTTAGAGATGAAACTAAGAAATGTACCAATGGCACTCAGATTTGTTTAGGCTTGTCTTCTTTTAGAACATTTCCTGCAGTTGGTACTTGAGGAGGTCAATGCCACAGGAAAACAGGAAGTACTGAGACCACGACAAGCTCAACTAACAGGAAGTGTACGGCTGTGAGCGGGAACCTTATTCGTGATCCGTAGGTTTATATGATGTCTCTCTCTCTCTCTTCCCTTTCCCGATCCCTCTATCAATATACTGTTATTCTTGGCTTGATGAACAAATTAAAATGACCCAACTAGTTCAATTAAACTAGTTCAATTAATCTGTTGTCATATTCCAGAAAGGACTTCAGAAGAGACATTTCTGTAATAAAAGACAAGAGCAGCTTGAAGCAAGTTAACCTCACCAAAACATGACTTTTTAGGTAGTTGTAACCATATTTTGGCGTGCTAGATTGGGCGTTTTGGATAGAGGATCTCGGTGGATTTATTTTGGATCTGGTCATCTTTTCTAAAGACTACAACAAAGCAGAGCTTCAGAGATTTTTATCTTGCTTTGCGTGCAGAACTTCTCCTTTGGTTTTGGACTTGCCACACCTGACAAAGCTAATCTAAACTCTCATCAGCAGGGGCAAGTTTCAGCCTGTCCCACTCACACTGATCTAGAATCAGCTCCAGGTGCCCATATTAGGATCACAATGATGCTATGATGTCTACAAAACTGGTCTCAGGTCATAATAACATAACATCAGGCTATCTGCTGCACAAGCTACCTGCTATTTTAGCCACACCTAAACCTATAGTTCAAACAGTATGACTGTACCGAGCAAGAACTAACAGTCGACTGTATCAGTTATAGAAGCAATGCAAAGTAATATCCCACTCTTGTTGACACTAGTCTTTGGTTTCATTCTATTGTTTAAAGCACAGTGAAAAAAAACTGCTTGCGTATGAGGTAATGGTGACCTTTAACCTTTCACAGAGTGCTTTGAATAGCCCTGCCAACCTCCATTCACTTCAACAAGACAAACTGCTTCCTATGGCAAGGTGAGAAATATTACTTCGCCTTACCCAGAAGGAAAGATCGGTACTATATATCACATTTTCTTTGTTCCTGATAATATTTTTACAGTCCATTTTACATGCTGACAATGGTGGGGCATGTTGTCACATTGTAATTTGTCAATAAACAGCCTTTGTCTTTTTAGTCTGTTAAACGGTAAAACAATCATTAAGCACAAAACGATTCATGAATGTGAATGAATTCATCAACATCAAAAAAAATATGTGTAGAAAATTCAGTGTAGAAACAATTTTCACATAGAAATTGCTAGTAAATTTTACTGTTATAAAGAAACAGCAAGTAATACATTGAACTAATTGTGAATTTTTAAGTAGAAAATGTACACATAATCTTTATTTACAACTTCGAAAAATAAGTTTACAGTGTATATAATATTGTTATTAATTATTATATAATAGGCCTATTATAACAATATTACGCTCTAAAAAATACTGGGTTAAATATAACCCAGCGCTGGGTTAAAAAGGGACAAACCCAGCTATTGGGTTGTTTTGACCCAGCGTTTGGGTTGTTTTGAATCCAACTGCTGGGTCAAAACAACCCTACCGCTGGGTCAAAACAACCCAACAGCTGGGTCAAAACAACCCATTTATTTACAACTTCGAAAAATAAGTTTACAGTGTATATAATATTGTTATTAATTATTATATAATAGGCCTATTATAACAATATTACGCTCTAAAAAATACTGGGTTAAATATAACCCAGCGCTGGGTTAAAAAGGGACAAACCCAGCTATTGGGTTGTTTTGACCCAGCGTTTGGGTTGTTTTGAATCCAACCGCTGGGTCAAAACAACCCAACCGCTGGGTCAAAACAACCCAACCGCTGGGTCAAAACAACCCAACCGCTGGGTCAAAACAACCCAACCGCTGGGTCAAAACAACCCAACCGCTGGGTCAAAACAACCCAACCGCTGGGTCAAAACAACCCAACCGCTGGGTCAAAACAACCCAACCGCTGGGTCAAAACAACCCAACCGCTGGGTCAAAACAACCCAACCGCTGGGTCAAAACAACCCAACCGCTGGGTCAAAACAACCCAACCGCTGGGTCAAAACAACCCAACCGCTGGGTCAAAACAACCCAACCGCTGGGTCAAAACAACCCAACCGCTGGGTCAAAACAACCCAACCGCTGGGTCAAAACAACCCAACCGCTGGGTCAAAACAACCCAACCGCTGGGTCAAAACAACCCAACCGCTGGGTCAAAACAACCCAACCGCTGGGTCAA